TATCAACAAAGTTGAAATGGTAAATTGGCCACCGTAACGATTACAAAAGCTGACGTTTTGAGCGTTAGCCCTTCGTTGGAGCTCAGGGATGAACGAAGGGCTAACGCTCGAAACGTCAGCTTTTAAAATCGTTACAGGGGCCAATTTACCATTTCAACTTAAATTTGTTGATATATCCAAATTATTTCGTAACCCCCACGAACGCAGCCCCAAACAGTTTCTTTAGAAACTATCGGACTTTTTTATCATATTAATATACTGTGGTGTTATATATTAAGGATTTTTAGCCCTGAGAAAATGTGCAACAACATGCAAAAGTATTTTTTCCTTATTCATATGTGTTTGATGTTGCCAACAGCTGCTAACAGGTCACCTGCGTTTTGTGCCACTCTGTCATGTTGATGAACGAATACATTTGATCAAGCAGAAACCAAAGAACTTGTTTAATGCCAAGATCATCAACCTATATACAGAGTTATAATTATTCTATCACATAGGTGATAGGGGTATTTGATAATGCATGAGAATATGCAGGATCATTTGTCACAGGCAAAGCCTTCACCATTCTCAATTCAAGATTGTTTGACAAAATGTTTCATATTATAATGGCAGATAAAACACTGAAAGATTTGTAGTGATTCCAGACAATGACATTAAAAATCTCCTTGAGGGAAAGTAAACAAAAGTTGAAAATTACATACTCATTTGCTTTGGTTGGGGCATTTCTCGCAGTTGAGAACAAAAATTGACATTACCGGAAATTTGCCATATGCTGATTTTGGCAGTTTTCCTGAAAAGGTTTCTATTAGATCTGTTGTTAAGGAACAAGTCAATAACAGAGAATTTTGTGAATTGCGCATTGTCTTTAATTGTAATTATTCAATGCAGTTTTTCATCTTGATAACTGGCTACTCACACTTTGATATGATAGTTGATAGTTTCGAAAGGAACTGTTTGGGGCTGCGTGGTTGGGAGTAATGAAATAATTTGGATATATCAACAAAGTTGAAATGAAACAACAATATGAAGAACATTCACATCGCATGGATTTTTTGGGATAATGGAAATATGTAAATAGGACAGGTAACCATAATTATGAGATAAAAAAATGAAAATATATCGAAAATACTTTTATTTACATCAGTTAAAAGTCCTAAGAAGTACATCTATCGTCTAAATTACTGTGGGAATGTTT